AGACATTAATAATCAAAATATTGCTTATCTCATTGACTCATTACCATAAGATTGTTTCACCATTGATTTGCACCATCAGTTTGGTGCCGTCTGTGGGAAGAACTGGTCCTATTATAAACAAACTGATCTTTCAGTGACTGATGGTATCAACGCGAAATATGAACCGAAGTCAAACAAATTCACCACGGGTGTAAGATCAACAAGAAGTTGCCAATAACAGACAATCCGAGAGCGTCCAAGAGACCAATCTACCAGTGGGGTGTCTCCCCATGAATAACGAGATGGAGGCTCTTCGCTTCTCCAATCAACGCTTGCTGAAACAAAACGAAGAACTTTTAAAACTCTTACAACACCCACAGGAGGCACGACAGGTTCAAGAAGGCCAGAACAACCTCCCACCTAGGGAGCAACCACACCTCGACCCCCTCAGAGAAGTTAACGAAGAAGGAAAAAACAGCCAAATCATGTGGCCAGAACCTCGCATACCCCCCAAGAATGGTCACAACGACGAAGGACAGAGTGAGAACGAAAGAGGTGAGAAAAACGATATTTTCCCCTATCAACAGGAAAGGAGAGAATAATACTAAGAGCAACACTTTCAGGTTATCCAGCAAGAGCTCAGCCACATAAAAGAAGTCGTGAGAGGCAGGGCTCCAGTTACCATGGATGCCTTGGTACAGCAGATTGAATCCTCATTCACCACTGGGGTGCTACATTTTTCCCTCCCTATGAAATTCAGAATACTATAAATAGACGTTTTCGATGGAATAAAGGATCCCGTAGATCACCTCAACACCTACAAGAACCAGATGGAGTTGCATAGATATCAGGATCCAGTGCGCTACAGAGCTTTTGCCATCATGTTAAAGGGCTCAGCCCTAGCATGGTTCAATAGGCTCCCCCCCCCCCAGCCTCGATGTCCTCCTTTAAGGAGCTATCCATATCATTTGTATCTCACTTTATAGGACCCCACGAGAACCTCAGATCCTATGTTTAGAGGTTCAACTTGGATCGCTAAAAGTGGATGTCCCAGACAAGAAATTTGTCATTACTGCATTTATAGCTGGCTTGGGTGTCCAATCTAAAGACCTGATGTTCTCCATCTCGAAAAATCCCCAGGCCAGCATGGCCGAAGTACTGGCCAAGACGAAAAAATACATAAATGGCTAAGAAGCTCTACTCTCAAAAATGGGGAGCTCATCCATGCAAAAAGACAAAGGAAAAAAGGAGAAAAAAAGGGACCGAAGTCCCAGAAGAGAGAGATGATGAGATAGGTCCCCAAGAAGAGACAGAGATCACTCCTCCAAAAAAATGAGAGATGTCAGAGGTCACCATCAAAACCATAAAAGCAGCCCTAAAAACTAAATTGGAAAGTCTAAAAGGTAAATGGGTGGAACACCTCCCAGAAAAACTATAGGCTTACAGAACAACTGTCAGGTCAGCGACTCGAGAAACACCGTTTGCTTTGGCCTTTGGAACCGAAGTAGTGGCACCAGTCGAGATTGGACTTCCATCCCCCTGAACTGAGTTCGCCAACAAAGGGGACAATGTTGAGTCCCTTCTACTGAGTTTGGATCTCATAGAGGAAAAGAGGGATGCAGCTTTGCATCGTATCAAAAGTTATCAGAGAAGGACAGCCAGGTAATATGACAGGAAGGTTAGGCGAAGGAGTTTCAAGGTGGGCGATCTAATGCTCAGAAAATTTTTGTTGGCAAGGAAGGACCCGACTCACGGGAAGCGGGGAGCAAATTGGGAAAATCCATACATCATCTCAAAGGTAATAAGGCCGAAAAATTACGAGTTACGAACCGAGGAAGAGAAACTCCAACCTTATTCTTGGAATGCGGAGCATCTTAAGAGATTTTTTTCGTAAGCTTTTTCTGTAATCTGATTGTTCTTAATAAAATTGCATGTATCAATAGCTCATGATGAACTCCTAAGTTTATGAAAACGAGCTCAGAAGCTCACGATCAACTCTTAAGTTCATGAGAACGAGCTTAGTAGCTCACGATGAACTCCTAAGTTCATGAAAACGAGCTCAATAGCTCACGATGAACTCTTAAGTTCATAAAAACGAGTTCAGTAGCTCACGATGAACTCCTAAGTTCATGGAAACGAGCTCAATAGCTCACGATGAACTTCTAAGTCCATAGGAATGAGCTCAGAAGTTCACGATGAACTCTTAAATTCATAAAAATGAGTTCAATAGCTCACGATGAACTACTAAGTTCATGAAAACGAGCTCCAATAGCTCACGATTAACTCCTAAGTTCATGAGAACAAGCTCAGTAGCTCACAATGAACTCCTAAGTTCATGGAAACGAGCTCAATAGCTCACGATGAACTCTTAAGTTCATGAGAACGAGCTCAGTAGCTCACGATAAACTCCTAAGTTCATGGAAGCGAGCTCAATAGCTCACGATGAACTCCTAAGTTCATGAAAACGAGTTCAATAGCTCATGATGAACTATTAAGTTCATAGGAATGAGTTCAAAAACTCACGATGAACTCTTAAGTTCATGAAAACGAGCTCAATAACTCACGATAAACTCCTAAGTTCGTAAGAATGAGCTCAGAAGCTCACGATGAACTCTTAAGTTCATAAAAATGAGTTCAATGGCTCACGATGAACTCCTAAGTTCATGAAAACGAGCTCAATAGCTCACGATGAACTCCTAAGTTCAAGAGAACGAGCTGAGAAGCTCACAATGAACTTTTAAGTTCATGAAAATGAGCTCAATAGCTCACGATGAACTCCTAAGTTCATAGAAATGAGCTCAGAAGCTCACGATGAACTCTTAAATTCATAAAAATGAGTTCAATAGCTCACGATGAACTCCTAAGTTTATGAAAACGAGCTCAATAGCTCACGATGAACTCCCAAGTTCATGAGAACGAACTTAGTAGCTCACAATGAACTCCTAAATTCATAGGAATGAGCTCAGAAGCTCACGATGAACTCTTAAGTTCATGAAAACGAGCTCAATAGCTCACGATGAACTCCTAAGTTCATAAGAATAAGCTCAGAAGCTAACGATGAACTCTTAAGTTCATAAAAATGAGTTCAATAGCTCACGATGAACTCCTAAGTTCATGAAAACGAGCTCAATAGCTCACGATGAACTCCTAAGTTCATGAGAACGAGCTCAGTAGCTCATAATGAACTCCTAAGTTCATGGAAACGAGCTCAATAGTTCACGATGAACTCTTAAGTTCATGAGAACGAGCTCAATAGCTCACGATAAACTCCTAAGTTCATGGAAACGAGCTCAATAGCTCACGATGAACTCTTAAGTTAATGAAAACGAGCTCAATAGTTCACGATGAACTCCTAAGTTCATGAAAATTAGTTAAATAGCTCACGATGAACTCTTAAGTTCATCGTGAGCTCACAATGAACTCCTAAGTTCATAGGAATGAGCTCAGAAGCTCACAATGAACTCCTAAGTTCATAGGAATGAACTTAGAAGCTCACGATGAACTCTTAAGTTCATAAAAATGAGTTCAATAGCTCACGATGAAGTCCTAAGTTCATGAAAACGAGCTCAATAGCTCACGATGAACTCCTAAGTTCATGAGAACGAGCTGAGAAGCTCACAAAGAACTCTTAAGTTCATGAAAACGAGCTCAATAGCTCACGATGAACTTTTAAGTTCATAGGAATGTGCTCAGAAGCTCACGATAAACTCTTAAGTTCATAAAAATGAGTTCAATAGCTTACGATGAACGCCTAAGTTCATAAAAACGAACTCAATAGCTCACGATGAACTCCTAAGTTCATGAGAACAAGCTCAATAACTCACAATGAACTCCTAAGTTCATAGGAATGAGCTCAAAAACTCACGATGAACCCTTAAGTTCATAAAAATGAGCTCAGTAGCTCTCGGGGAACTCCTAAGTTCATCACAACGAGCTCGGCCACCTACGGTGGAGAGTTTAAAAAGAAAAACTCTTTCAAAAGAAGTTACAGAACCATGAGGTCTACAAGTCCAACATCCTGAAAAACCCAGACAGTTTTCAAATCCAGAATTGAACTCGGCAGTCTTATTCCCATTAAAGATAAAGCTGTGTCAGACACCCTTAAGCCTTCAAGAATAAGATCGTTTTAAGCTTCATGCCTCTCAATTCACCACAACCTAATCTTGGCTGCATAAACCTACAGAATCGCTAAAGCCAGCATGAAACGCAGGGAGCAGCTAGTGATGAGATTTACCACTTACTCTTATCCAATGAGCTCAAATATGAAACTCTCAAAGCATTCTTACTTCAGGAAGAACTCAGCACTCCTTAAAGCAAAGGGGACAAGGGAAGACTAAAGTTAAAATGCACAGTTATAGCACATTTGAAGTCGCTGATTGGAAAGTCATTACTGTTACATCCTAAGTTCAGCCCTTACCCAAGCCAGCTAGACCAAGAGTTGGGGGACAACTGATGATACTCAGAATGATTCCCGAGCAAGAGCTCAGAAACGGAAGTCAAACATGGAGATCAGATATGTTGAGCTCAGAAAGTCAAAGCTATGCAGAACTCAAAAAATCAGAACTAAAGCTTCCCTCAAGCAAGATAATAAGCCGAAACAATGAAGAAGCAACTGGATACTACAAAGAATTCTACAAGCGATTTGAAGTAACACTCAAGACACAAAATCCTCAACCAACCAAGATACTCTCCTAAGATCAAAGAGAATTACTCAGATAGATGACAAAAATTACAGATCAGATCTCATAAATTAAGGATCACCCCTACTATATAACGCTCCCATCAGAAAAGAGGACCGACTGACCAAAAACCTATTCTGTAAACCTTAATTATGATCAATAAAAAAAAAAAGTCATAACCTCCATTGAAGAATAGATTAGCCGAGCTCCCTAATCGATGAACTACTATATTTGTTCTGTTTTAATCCTTCAATTCTCGGAGAACCTTAAGCACCATTCCCTAGAGCCAAGTGACTCGGACGTTAATAATCAAAATATTGCTTATCTCATTGACTCATTACCTCATAATATTGCTTATCCCATTGACTCATTACCACAAAACTGTTTCGCCATTGATTTGCACCATCAAAATCCATAGGCTAACAACCATAAAATCATAAGAAAACTTCACTCAGGTAACATATATATCATATAGACACACTATTTTAATGTAACGAAAAGAGGGGGAAAATACCAAAACCAGTATTCTAACCATACATATACTTGCATTATTCAGAACAACCATGGCCAAAGAAAGGTACAGTACTGCAATCCAAGCTTTAATCAACTTCCTCAATTTTGGGTCCTGAACCACTGCCACTAGCCGAGGGACCATCCTCATCCATGCCACCACCCATGTCAGGACCTCCAGCACCACCCTGATACATCTTGGCAATGATAGGGTTGCAAATACCCTCAAGCTCCTTCATTTTATCCTCAAACTCATCTGCCTCTGCAAGCTGATTGCCTTCCAACCACTGAATGGCCCGTTCAATAGCATCCTCAATCTTCTTCTTGTCAGCCGGAGGAAGCTTGGGGCTGATCTTCTCATCCTTGATTGTGTTCCTCATGTTGTAAGCATAGTTCTCCAATCCATTCTTGGCCTCAACCTTCTTCTTGTGCTCCTCATCCTCGGCCTTGTACTTCTCAGCTTCTTGCACCAATTTCTCAATCTCTTCCTTAGATAACCTTCCCTTGTCATTGGTGATTGTAATTTTGTTCTTTTGACCTGTAGTCTTGTCCTCGGCAGAGACATTCAAGATACCATTGGCATCAATGTCAAAACAGACACTGATTTGGGGAACGCCCCTTGGAGCAGGAGGAATGCCAGAAAGCTCAAATTTGCCCAACAAATTGTTGTCCCTTGTTCTTGTTCTCTCACCTTCGTACACTTGAATCAACACGCCTGGCTGGTTGTCAGAGTAAGTAGAGAATACCTGCTCCTTCTTGGTAGGAATTGTTGTGTTTCTTGGAATCAGAACAGTCATCACTCCTCCAGCAGTCTCCAACCCAAGAGACAGAGGGGTTACATCCAAGAGCAATAAGTCTTGAACCCTTTCATTACCTTCACCACTCAATATCGCAGCCTGCACAGCAGCACCATAAGCAACAGCCTCATCTGGGTTAATGCTCTTGCAAAGCTCCTTCCCATTGAAGAAGTCCTGCAAAAGTTGTTGAACTTTAGGAATTCTAGTCGACCCACCAACAAGAACCACATCATGGACACTACTCTTGTCCATTTTAGCATCTCTCAAACACTTCTCAACAGGCTCCATACATTTTCTGAACAGATCCATGTTGAGCTCCTCGAATCTAGCTCGGGTAATTGTCGTGTAGAAATCAACACCCTCGAACAAAGAATCAATTTCAATAGTGGTCTGGGCAGTGGATGAGAGAGTCCTCTTTGCCCTTTCACAGGCAGTCCTCAACCTCCTCAGAGCTCTAGGGTTACCACTAATGTCCTTCTTGTGCTTCCTCTTGAATTCCTGAACAAAATGATTCACCATGCGGTTATCAAAATCCTCTCCTCCGAGATGGGTATCACCAGCAGTGGACTTCACTTCGAAAATACCCTCTTCAATAGTGAGGAGAGAGACATCAAAAGTACCACCACCAAGATCAAAAATCAGCACATTCTTCTCTCCTGAGCTCCCAGCTTTCTTGTCAAGGCCATAAGCTATGGCCGCAGCTGTGGGCTCGTTAATGATACGCATGACGTTGAGGCCGGAGATCACTCCGGCATCCTTGGTGGCCTGACGCTGAGAGTCGTTGAAGTAGGCAGGGACGGTAACGACGGCGTTTTTCACAGTTGAACCCAGATAGGCCTCGGCTATTTCCTTCATTTTGGTGAGAACCATGGAGGAAATCTCCTCAGCAGCAAATTGCTTCTCCTCACCTTTGTAGGTGACCACAATCATGGGCTTATCACCAGGACCAGCAACAACTTTGAATGGCCAATGCTTCATGTCACCCTGAACCGAAGGGTCACTGTATCTCCTACCGATCAATCGCTTAGCATCTGTAAACAAAAATCAAACAGAAACAATCAGCAACATAATCAAATCACAGAATCAGCATACATACAACAGAGGTTATTAAGCAAATTACTATTATTTTAGTTGATTTTATTTCTTTTTTATTATAATTCCTAAGTATTGCCCACTTTAAACAACACACCTCTCAACCAAAAATCAAACACAAACGTTTGTAAAATAATCAATTCACAAAAATCAGCATACAGCACAAGTTCTTGACTAAATTGCTGTGTTTTTCAATTTTTTTTTCCTTAAATCTAGTTTCTGATTTATTTTCTACTAGTAACCAGTGCACGCTCCTGCCATTGGGAGATCTGTTTCAGATTAGATGTACGTAGCCCAATTTGAAAAACAGAGAAACTTTTTTGCAACTTAAAAACTTGACCACCACAATCAAACAACTTTACCATACGGCCCGCTCTGATTTCCCACTTTAAACCTCAAATTTTTGAATAAAAATGCGTTTTGGTTCTAATAACACTAAAAAAAATCATAATTAAACCACAACTTAATATAAAAAACTAGAATAAACAAAAAAATTAAGTTAAAAAAAAAACAGCCCAATTTGAAAAACAGAGAAACTTTTTTGCAACTTAAAAACTTGACCACCACAATCAAACAACTTTACCATACGGCCCGCTCTGATTTCCCACTTTAAACCTCAAATTTTTGAATAAAAATGCGTTTTGGTTCTAATAACACTAAAAAAAATCATAATTAAACCACAACTTAATATAAAAAACTAGAATAAACAAAAAAATTAAGTTAAAAAAAAAACAGCCCAATTTGAAAAACAGAGAAACTTTTTTGCAACTTAAAAACTTGACCACCACAATCAAACAACTTTACCATACGGCCCGCTCTGATTTCCCACTTTAAACCTCAAATTTTTGAATAAAAATGCGTTTTGGTTCTAATAACACTAAAAAAAATCATAATTAAACCACAACTTAATATAAAAAACTAGAAAAAACAAAAAAATTAAGTTAAAAAAAAAAAAAGACAACTGACTTATTACAAAGTGATTCCATACAACCATTCATAAACAGTCACTCCATTTGTACGGAAGACTTACCGAAAACAGTGTTGACAGGGTTCATGGCGACCTGGTTCTTAGCAGCATCGCCGATGAGACGCTCGGTATCAGTGAACGCAACATAAGACGGCGTCGTCCTGTTGCCTTGATCATTAGCTATGATCTCAACACGATCATGTTGCCAGACACCAACGCATGAGTATGTCGTCCCAAGATCGATTCCGATGGCAGGTCCATCACCTTTTCCGGCCATTGTGGTTCACCGAACAACACAAAAACGAATAACAGAGAATTGATTGTAAATTAAGAGAGACAAATAGGGATTTTTGAACGACGAAGACGAAGACGACGACGAATTGAATAATAGTTTAGAGTAATGAGGGGGAGGGGAGAGGAGTAGTTTATATAGTAGTTTGAATTGGAAGCCTAGAAACTTCTGAGTTGTATTTGGAGCCGTTGGATTGTATGGTGTTGACGGTGACGATGGATTACTTTCCGGTTGGTTCGAGAGTTTTCTTTTGGTTAAATGTTTGGAATAATAACTTACACTACGCATATGTGTACTTTCCAGAGACTACTAGATCCCGTATATAATTACCTGTATGTGCACCGAAATCGGTGTCATCCTTTTATTAATCTGGATTATTGATTTTTTATTGAATAATTTATAATAATTAATTTAAAAATAATAAAATAAAAAATAATACACAAGATATATTTTTTAATTAAAAAAATATAATATCAAATAATATTTTTAGGTAATAAAACCCTAATCTTAGGTCATGTTTAACTTACTATAGGAGGATTAGATTAGATTAGATTGAATATTTATCTCAATCTCTTCCGACTCAATCCAAAGTAATTTGGCCTAAGTTAGTACAATCAACATTTTCCAATCTAATATTTAATTAGGATAGAAATAATAGGAACCATGGTCCCATGCACACATGCAGGGCGGCCCTAGGCCTCGGCCACTTAGTTGGCCGCTTAAGACTTTCAGTTTTTTGCAAAATTTTGGGGTCTCTTGTTAAGAGTTTTAGTTAAGAGTACATGTATTTTGGATGGGCTGATTTGAGAAGACCTAAATTTTATTGATAAGTCCATTTAACACTAAACAATTCAGCTAAAAAATTATTCCACTTCCCAACTATAGTAGATTGTTAGACTTCTGAAATAATGAAAGTAGACGAATATATATATATATATATATATATATATATATATATATATATATATATATATATATATATATATATATATCTCATCTGTGAAGGAATAAAACAAATCTCCCTACATCACTCAATCTCTCTCGCACAAATTTATTAATTGCTATCATTACGCGATTTACACATGCAGGGCGTCTTTTTAACGCTACTCTCTCTCTCTCTTTGTTTGTGTGAAGTGTAAAGTCTGAATCTGAACAAAAAAAGAACACAAAAGTTCTCTATTTTTCTAATCTTTTGTAGTTCAAAAATTCATCAATTAATTGATAGTGATCAAAATTTAAGGTCAGAATTGTTTTGGCTCAATCTACTATAATAAGCTAGTTTGTTTAATTGCTTTCTCATTTTTTATTAGAAATTTTATAAAAAAATTTAGAAGTTTGGTGTGCTTAGAATTTTTAATATATTGATTTCATATTTTTGAATTATTGTTAATTTAGAATGTCTTCTTTTTTGACAAAAACTTAAATGCTTGAATCTTGATAGTTAATTGTTTAAACCCTAACTTATATAAAACAATTAGATTCTTTTCGAAATGCATGTATATCTTTTAGAATATTGTTAACAATATTGATAAAAATTGTTTCAGCGGAGAGAAGTTTTTCAAAACTTAAATTAATAAAGTCTTATCTTTTAGTAACTATGTCACAAGAAATATTAAATTGATTAACTATATTATTTATTGAAAAATATCTATTAACAAAACTTGAATATAAAATTTTAATTAATATTATTGCATCTCAAAAAGCTAAAAAAAATAGCTTTTAAATGAATATATTTTAATAATTGTTGCCTATGAATAGGGTCTCGCTTCATATTCTCGTCTAGGGTCTCTGGATTTGTTGGGTCGTCCCTGCACACATGTTCAAATCAATTTAAATGAAATGACTATTACACCCTTTGCGAGAAAATGTAATCCAACTCTATATCAAATTTGGATGGATAAACAGAGTGGATAAAATTAGTTTGGATGAGTAGCTTTTTGGAAATAATGAATAATAATAATTTTGAATGTCATAAATTAAGTTATACTTATTTGAAAGTAAAATCATGATTTATTATATTATATTTAGTTTAAATAATTATAATATTTTAATATTGTTTTATCTGTTAGTTTAATAATCCAATATTTTAAATTGGCAAGAGGTACACTCTAGATAACTTATTTGTCTTCAAATACGTAGTTTAGACTTTTCATTATAATTACCCTTACCTTAATTCATGCATATTAGCTTTAATAAAGTTCCTTAATTTTTGAATCTTGCTTATGAGATAAGAGTTTTACTAAATTAAGAGATTTAAAAATCGTTTTAAACATCTAAAAGAATCCTAATATATTAGATTTTTAATTTTGATTTTATTTCAATAAATGAAATAATAGAACAAAAATTTTTATTGTAAAATTCTATTATGAATGACTTGGACTCCTTGTTTAAATTTTTTAGTTTTATTCCAATAAATAGTATAATTATATACTAAATTACGATTTTTTAAGAAAAAAATAAAATTTTAATTTTAATTTTATTTCAATAAATGATACAGTAGAACATGAATTTCAATTATAAAATTTAAAATATTTGATATTTGATTAGAATATTTTTTATCTACATATAATATTTTAAACTTGAGGGATCTGAGTATAATTTACTAAAAGATATATTAACGGATTTTAACAATAGCTATCTAAGTGTTACGTGCATGCAAACCTTAAAAAGTCTATGTGTAATCTTTTAAATTTGAAGAAATTTGAGTGATTAAATGACAAATCTCAAGGAGTCTGATTATAATTTTTTCAAATTCGTAAATTCTACCCAAATGATGTTAAATTTATTGCGGATACCCAAAAAATGATAAATTATACGATATCAATTTTTTTTTTTCGTTGTCATAGTTAAACCATGATTTTAAAAAGGTAAATTTGAGCTAGGGAGCTTTTTTATTACTCTTTCCGTTTATAAATATCTGTCGTTTTACACAATTTTTTCTGTTTTATAATATCTATTGTTTTATGAAATCAAAGTATAATTAATATTTTTTCTTTCAAATTTATCCTTATCTCTGTTTTTCAATAAATACTTAATAGATTAAGTATAGGCTAAATACCTTTCATATTCCTTTCCTTCCCAATACGTATTGAATAAAGATATTTTAGTCTTGTGTAATTATTTTTTACTCACACTAGAGTTATTTAATAATTTTTTTAATACTTGTGCAAAAACTTTAAAAGAGAGATATTTAAGAATTGATGGAATATTATTTTTTGGTTTTCCAGTTCTGCAATTACCATCAATGCCCTCGTACAAGCAACAGGGGCCGGCCCAGTATGAAAGGGATCGGTTTGGCTGCAAAAATAACGAAGCTTAAGATAGGGGCATTCCGAGAATTGAACTCGGGACCTCTCGCACCCTAAGCGAGAATCATACCACTAGACCAAATGCCCAATTTGGGAAATGTTCAATTACAAAATTATAACTACTTAAGCTTACTTGTCATTAACATGCTAAATGGGTTCATGGCTCGTCACCCTCGTGAGATAAGCTTTCTCTCGTTGCATAATTCATTGAGATGATTAGGTACTCAAGGAATTGTTTAGGGTTATTGTTTCTACATATATATTCAAAATTTTTCATATAAACTTTTTATGTAAAATTTAACACGCGTCAAAACGGGTTCACACAATCTCCCCTCCTTTATTCTCTCACGTTCCCATGAAAAACTAACAATTAATCACAAATATTTTGTCCCCCAACTTACACTGTCGTGTGCACGAGTCAACTCTGATGTCACACATAATAATCATAGGAACTCTCCCAAAAGGTTTAGCCCAAGGAATTATCATTTAGGAGGGTTGTTCAACCGAGTTGCAGGCAGGAATTTTTGAATTTTATGTTCCGAGTCAACGAGGTACAAAAGACTATTTCTTTGACCGACTCTACCCGATTGAGATTAATGTTCCGAATCAAATTCCGTCCAAAAAATTGGCTCAAAAACTCTGGTAATATTACGGAATGCCTTATAAATTATTAAACTTTAAGTGATTAATTTTTTAGTCATCTTAACAACCTTTTTTTGAACACAGAAGGTTGTTATTTCTATTTCATTCAAGTAGGAAAGGCGGAGCTACATTCTGAATGTAAAAAAGTTTTAAGCTCGAGGGTGGACAGCTAACCCAATTCAATAGCAACAAATTAGTAATGATAGATGCTGCCATCCAATGAACTACCATATTATGGACTCTAGACTTGTGTACAAACTTTAAATTGAGATGGTCTACGATAAGCTTGATGTCTTCGAAGAAATTGCTAGCTTCCCAAGGAGGTACTCGTTCAGTTGAGCTCAGTTTTATGACCTCAGAGTTACCGCGCTCTGTAGTAGCCTGATAGAGGCAAAGAGTATGTGCCAGAAGGCAAGCTTGCCAAACTGCATAGACTATACATGGCAGGTGTATGTTTTGTTATCCCCTCCACGGGCACGGATCCTCTGCTGTTCCTTGATAACAGCAAATGTTGCTGTTAGTTCAAACGACGCCGCATCAACACAAGTCAAAACGGTCGGCTCCCAAAATTCAAGACCAAACACAACAAATATTAATAAGGGCTTTGCTTAAATATGATACAAAAATTTATCAAGTATTTGGATTAAATCTAATATTGAATCCAATAGAAAAATTATAAAATCAAAATACTTGAAATATTTATTTTGAATTTAATTAATTTTAATTTTATTTATTTAATCATATCAAATATCTAAAAATAACATGTTTTACACATATTTGACACACATATCTCATGAATCAAAAATTTAACACTAAAATTTATTTATCTCTTAACAAAACTCAAAGCTAATGTATTCTTATAAATTAAAAATTCATCTGATCTTTATGCAAGTTAAATTGAGGGAAAAAATTCCTCCATTCTGTAATAAGTTTGATTACATGGATATAAATTAATATTTTTCAAGTCAATTATATAATATTTTGTGGATTTATATTTAAATATACTTATATTTATTAAAATTTTGGTCTTATTCGAGATATGAGTGTTTGTGTGTGTAAATAGGGAAGTAATATCAATTCTCTATTCTATAAGAATTTTTGAAATTGAATTAAAATTTAGATTTTATTATTATTCAGTTGAACGATATTGTTCCGATCAAATAGATTATTTCAATTGAATTCGATCATAGATTATTCAAAAGAAAATATTTCAAGTATTTTGATTAAATTTAATATTATAATTTTTCTATTGGATTCAAACTTGGATTAGAATTATAATATTAGATTTAATCCAAATACTTTGATAAATTTTTGTATAGTAATATTTAAGCAAAGTCCTTATTACTATTTGTTGTGTTAGGTCTTGAATTTTGGGAGCCGGCTCCACTGCCTTCCCTTAGGATCTCTTACAATTATTCATGCCGCAGCTTTTTCACCCTTGTGTATATGCTCCATCGCAACCTATTCTTCAATTCGTTGTTTTTTATATCATCACCTTAATATTTAGACAACAACAATCTCCTGATTTTTAAAAACTACGAAATAACTCAATATATTCAAATCTTATTTTAATGTGTTCAAAATAAACACGTCTTATTCCCTCTGAAGGATCATTAAATGCCTTTTTGTGATGGTTGCGCACGATTGAGGGTATATTTGTCTTTTGACCCTTGATTTTGTGCTCTTTGCCACTTGAAACGTTGTCCATGGGTGTGGGTCTATCTCTATCCCCCTGCTATTCTGATTGTTTTGAGAAGAAAAGTTAATGATTATTGACCAAATTTAACTCTAAGTAATAATAACTATCATTTTGACACATCTGCCTCAGAGTCCTAAAGCCGAGATGACGTGTTTGAAAACATGCCTCGCAAGAGCCAATCATGCCGAGGACACGTGTCAATCACATAAGGAGGGGGAGAAAAACGACGCTGAGAACACATGTCACAATCTACTGACTCCAAGGGAACTTATGTCGAGAACACGTGTCACTCATAAACGAAGTTGAGGAAACATTGGTGCCGAAGACACATGTCACTTGCATATGGATCCGAGGGCTTTTCGTTTCGTGCCGAGAACACGTGTCTCAATAACAGTGCTCCAAGGAGATGATGCCGAGGACGCGGGTCAGTCTTCTAAGTTTCCATATTTCTGATGCCAAAAACACGTGTCAACTTTTAACTGACTCTCTGAAGTGCCCCATCAATTATATAGAGATGATTTAAACTCATGGCCTCGAATTAGTGGAGGCCAAAACCAAAGTACTTCAAGGGAAAGTAAAATAGAACTTAACACATTTGATTCAATAGAATAGAATGATAAAAACATAATAGTGACATGAAATTATAAGAATAACTAAAATTTGCAGTGTTAGCGACCCCTTTATTAAAATCGACAAGCAAACAAGAAATAATCATAGTCATACAAATCAAAAACAAAATTTGTGGCAAGAATTAGAAATTTCTGATCAACCTCCAGTTCTTCGATCTCAAACATGAATGAAACTGTGGTTCGATTCCTCAGAGGATTTAAGGTAAAATTTACCAAGCCGTTCCGAAGCTTTGGCCACCTGTAAAATGAAAGTAAGTAATTGTGTGCAAGCCTTATACACTAGTGCATGACAATGATTTTAGGAAAACACCACATATGATTAGTTCGATTCTGTTTCCATAGATTAGTGTGTCCTTCAACGTACCTGTTCATCCCAATTAGTTCTCCATGTCAGAAAGCAAAGCGTAAGCGACTGGGTTATCACCCCACAGATCATCCCAATCCATATGCCCTATAAAACGAATACACAAATGAAGATAAATTTCAGTGTAACTAGTTGGACATAGCAACAGTTAGTTTAAGCCCAAGAATGCAGTGTGTACGCAGATGATCAAAATCTCATTTCGTGCATTGTTTGGTTAGCTCGCAAACGGGATTTTTCGGGGGAAATTAAAGAGAACAGAGGAAAAGATTAGCTGAATGTTTGATAGAAACGAAATGAAATTTCAATGTTTGAGTGTATGCTTTGCACAAATCGGGTGTTTCAAAATAGAATGGCTTCCTTGTAAACTTGCATTTCAATTCCATCTCACCACTGATGGGTGCAATGCTCGACATCAGAACTAATGATCATCTCTGAAGGCCTAAACTCGCAGCATGCGACAAATTGTGCGTATTTTATTTCCGAAATTAAGATTAAAATTCCTATAGTTGGATAATTGAGGCATCACCTTTACTTGAAGATTAGTCAAGTATCCGAGCAAAGCTCCAATGGGAATTCCAATCACATAAAAGCAACAAAGATTGACAATCGCAACCGTACTTTGCAGACCCGCCCCTACTGCCACCCCTGCAAACAAGATTTTATGCTAAACCCATAAATATTTCAGGTGGAAAACAAGGGAATTACAATACCGTGAAAGTTGTTACTTACCTGAGAGTACTGGATAAACGCTATTGAGCAACATTGAGAAAGCAAGGAGGAGGGAAAGGTCTGAGACAGTATCTGCCACTTCCTTATCGGTTGTAAACAAGTATCCAATTTTATTACCAAAGGCTAAGCACAAAATCCAGAAGAATAGGCCTATTATGACTGAAGTACTCAACAAGACTTTGATTGAAAATTTTGTAGCTTTAGCATCCCCCTTCCCTAATTCATTTGCAACCCGCACACTACAAACCATCAAAAAAAAAACGAAAAGAAAAGAAAAAAGATAGTTATGACACATAATGGTGGCACGATCAGTACTAGAAGAGTAGAAATGATTGTATTAAACAATGGCATACCATGCAGCACCTAGGAAGCCAAGGCTTATCATAAATTCCCATCCGTTGATATTGAGGCTGCAAGCAAAGTTATCGGGAGAAATATCAATTTGAGAATACAGCAAAACACAAACGATGAAACGAATCAAGGAAGTGAATAAAAATCCTTACCAAATGGAGAAAGCAGATATAGAAACCTCTGCATTTTTCATATAGCCCGCCAGTAAGACTAAAACAGCATTGTACCATAACTCTAAGCTGAAAAACCAGTGAAAACATAGTGGATGTCCAAATTCCATTGTGGAAAAGTAGCATATAATTTGGAAAAAATGTTAAGTGAAGGACAAAAAGACTTACCAAACCATCACACCAGAGGATATTGAAAGCTTTACCACAGGCCATAGATCCTTGAAGGCTGCTTTTGTGAAACCTTTCCATGTGTTGGGGCACCGACCACCAAAGATATAAATGAACTCTCCAAATACCAGGTACCAAGAAGATATGCACAATGCAGCCATTGCACCATCAATGCCCCAGTTTAGTTTGTACACAAAAAGCCAGGATAAGGGAACATGGATCGCCATTTGGGAAATGGATAACCATGCAATTACCATGTTCTTCAACTGTGCTTGTAGATACATCTGGATGGTCAAGCTAAAAACAAAATTGTAGCAAAAGGGAATGAACCACAACGAGATATACCCAGCTGAGCTAGCTATAGAATCTTCCTCACCAAGTAGCTTAAAGATGGATGTGGCAAAAATGAAAAATGGGAGCAAGATAGTTAAAGTAATGAAGTCAACAATCCATGATCTCTGTAAGTAAATACCCAACATGTGGTGTTGCCCTGCTCCAAATGCTTGCCCACAAAGGGTTTCAGTTGCACTCGACATCCCTAACTGCAACAACAAACACGTAAAAAATGTTGTATACTCATAAGTCTCCATACATGTTTAACTATGTCCGATAATACTTATCCAAGTTGAAATGCATACAAGTAATACCATCGTCAATCACTTGCAATGGCATCCACTACCTTTGATCACCATTACAACTATGATTCCAACAGGGCAATTGTAGTTCCTTTATTGAGTTGCATTCACAACGGTTACCATCATTGATGATGCGACTACTATTTCCTCTAGTGCCATGGCCACCACTACCATACATGTTAAAGATGGTTGTCTGCTATTGTCCTAACAACCCATGAGACCAGGGTAGGCACCAACACGGCTACCATTCCTCCAAACAAAGCACCACCACTTGACAATGGTTGTCGACACCATTCAGTGGCATGTTGCACACATCCCAGGACAATTGCCACATTCCTATTTGAGTAAGGAACGAATATCGGACCCTATTGAAGTTCAACCTACCACCGGGCCTAATAATGCTTGCAACTTTTCTTATTTCGGCTTGAATTGAAAATACTGGACAGGAACGGACATTTATTACCATTTTATTTACAGCTTAATTGATGCCAAGTCAAGTTTGAAATAGAAAATAAAATTTGTGTGAAATTAGTTACTCTGTATATTAGTTTCCTAAAAAAATCTTCTATACTTTCTCTGCATTATCTTACTCTTCATTTCAAAGTGTAACATAAATTCGAATTGATCCAAACAAAATGAGAGGAAAACTGATCATGCTAGACTATACTATAATGTAAAGCTGCTCAGTGTTATGCACATTTTTCTCCGTCATTATCAACCATCCACAATTGTTCCACATGAAAGTGATGGTAGTTTAAGTATAAGGGGCAGTATGCATAGTGAGAGTAGGAACTTACAAGTATACCATTTACAAACCGCACACCAAGGGTCTGTACAAGTGCATAACCAGCAAGATCTAAGTTACTTATGTGTCCAACAAATGATTGTGTCACCACGATAGTTCCAAAGCTAGCCACTCTGGCTAAAATGCCTGGCAATGCTACCCTCCATATCCTTTTGGATTCATCCCAAACCCTCCTCTTCAAATCACCTACTTCTTCTATATCTGATTCAAGTAGCCGCTCTTGCACTCCATTAGACATGATTCTACAAAGCATAAGAAGAAAAAGTTAGTTAGACTGAGCTAACATTGTTGAATAAGATTGCAAATGGCCAATACATTACCCCTATTTAAGCAAAAACCTATATCCACTAAACTTAATCTTAGTTATAGATATTTGTTTAGTGATTCAGAAAGTGACAAAAAAATTTCTTCAGCAGTTGGCCTGGCAGGTCCACCAAGTTTCATCAAAAAATTTCTTCAAAGTGACTAAACTTAATCAACGTGGCCTGGCAGGCAGGTCCACCACCAGTTTTTCACGGCTACTACAAGGCCACGTGACATCACCACATGAGACGTCACGTGCAGCTTAATTAACCTCATCAGTTGTGGTTCAGAGTCTTCAGGCCACGTTGCCATCATGACTGTGTTGCAATCTTTTTGTAGGGCCCGCATCAAGATCCCTGTAGGAAATTTTATGTCGACCAAACTTTTCGACATCGAAACCTTATTAGGTACACGGAAAAAGGCTTCATGGCAAAATTTTAAGTTCATCCCTTCTAATTTATTATATTTTAAAAAATATTTTTTATTATAAAAAATATTACTAACATTCTTTCTATTTTATATTTAAACATCAGCCATTAAACTATCATTTCTAATAAAAAAATATTTATTTAAAATACCAAAATACCCCTATACAAACCTCAAATAAGTGAAAACAATTGAGAGGTGATTAAGCTCTTTCTTTGTAATGCATCCTCCACAATAACTGTACTATGAATTATACTTTATGGACACTATGCTATACTTCAAATTTGGATAAACAGACAGCTTCATCATTAGATCTCTGACAGTAATTGCCTTTCCCATATCACCATATGATTTTAATGGGTTGTGTATTAATTTCATTAATTTAAAATTTAATTTTATCAAATTAACACCAAATTTTAATTTCATCATTTTAACATTTAATTTTATCAAATTAAAATTATTTTATTAATTTATCACTAAGAAATGCTTACTTTTGTAAATAGGAAGAGAGAACAAGACGACATCATATTGATTCAATCTTGGTGTATATATAGCACTAGGGATAAAATAGATAACTCATAGGAAAATTAGCCATCCGATCACAAGCTTTTTTGCTTGTTAGGAACAGAATAAACAGTAGGGGTGATATATGAAACACATATATAAATTATAAGGGTGTGCAATAATATTTAAAAAATCAGAAGCGGTGTCAATAAAATATGACCTAAATTCAGGGGGGCGGCAATGAAATTTAACCCAATAAAAAAGATATTTTGATCTAATCATTTATTAAAGTTGAAAATAATATTCTTTCAAATCTTAGTCAAATAAGTTGAAAACATTCTCCATCTTATTAAAACATTAATTATTTGAAATAGTAGAAAACATTTTTAGATTAGAACACAAGCTATTGACTTATAAAAAATAATTGAGAGCACTTATACATTATTTAAAAAAAAAAAAAAAAGGGGGGGGGGGAATGTAATGTCATTTGTCATTATAATATTTAGTATATGTCTTATTTAATTTAAAAATAAAAAATTTATGACCACAATACAAATTTTTAAATAATTAAGGAAATAAATTCATAAAATGAACAAAATCATAGTCCAAATTAGTATCACACAAAAGGTGTTCTAAAACTAGTGTCTCCCCTTTCCCCCCTTGACAAATGATGACATTTACATTACTAATCATCGAGATATTGGTCATTTGAGTTCATAATTTACTCCAAATTAATCGTACGTGTAGAAGATTGGGTTAAATGGGGAACTAGTAGTGTCATAATCCTGATTTTATTGACAAAAAGTAAAGGAAGAAATTAACAAATCCCACCATAATAAATAGGAAGAAAACTCATTTGAAGATGGTGAATGTTTACTGTAATATGAAATCAACAACGTAGGAATCAAACGAGAAACAACCATCCATTTGCGAGTGACTCTGAGAGAGAGAGAGAGAGAGAGAGAGACTCACTAGCGTTTCAGTTGTGCTACGGCTACAGAGCTGGATTCCTGTAGAGTTTCCCCACTAGTACTACAGCTTTCTTGATTTCAACCCCAGCATACAAGGAGAGACAAGCACCCAACCAGTTGAGGAGATTTGTATACAGGAAGAGAGAGAGAGAGAGAGAGAGCGAGAGAGAGAGAGAGAGAGAGAGCGAGAGAGAGAGACAGCTGGGTTTGCTCACCCGCACCTAGATCAACTCTTCTAGGTGCTCACTTGCCAAACCTCTAGTTAAAAAGAACCGTAGGTCAACGCTTCATCCATGAGACATTAGAACAAGGGGAAAACAGAAAGAAAAATGATTCTCTAAACTTTTCAGGGTGATTTAGGTAATGATATGATAAGATTACACCGTCAACGTGCTACGACGAGAACTAAAATCATGTTATTGATGAGATTCAATCATTAATGGCATAATTTTTTTTTTATTTGAATAAGTTTTTTTTTTTCAAAGCAGAATCCCATTGAATGGTTGGTTAAGTTTGAAAGTTGACAAGTTGGCGCACGCATTGACTAGCGGGTGAGCAGTCATAATCCAATTCATCCGATGGCTTTTTGGGCAGTTGAGACAAAGGATTGAAATGTGGGCCTCTTAAGTAGATGGAATGGGGTTGGGTATTAAATACACTATAATAACAAAAATTTGGGGTCTAGGAGATGACTGCTGCTCTGGTTTGAAAGATGACAACGTTGAGCAAAATGGGAACCATTTTAAGTACACATGCGCATGAACCCTATGGCAAACATTCAATCATATGGATACATTGCATCTACCGTTTTCGAAAATAACACACAGCCACATGATTTTCTGAAGTTTTGGCTATGGAATCTTAATTACAAGATTAGAACTAAGATTAACCACCCCACCCGCACACAAAACAAGGCCTAGGAGTTTGTATGAGTCATGTGGTTGAATCCTAGTCGCATTGTTGTTATGTTGGATCTTGGCCCACTTTAGGGTTATGGGCTCCACACATGGGTTCTCAGGCAATAACGGGCTCCATGGAATAGGCCCATTCAAATGGGCCTTATGTCTCTGCATATTGTGGAATAAGATCACAATCTTCCATACATTGTGGTCTTCTAGCCTATTGAGGGAAGATATGTAATCCTCTATCTAAATGTGCTTGGAGTCTTTTGCATTACTAGACACCAAAAAGACCAATTTAACCAAGTCCCATTATTAAAGTAGTAGGAGTTCTTTGGTCTCCAAATCTGAATAATATTCATCACTTAAAATGGTTCTGCTTTGGTTTCTAATTGACTAATTTCATAAAATTTATTATAAATTAGAGATAATTTGTGTCTGAAAGCACTTTATAATTCAGGAAAATTGAATATTAATCATGAACACAAAAAAAATCAAGTATTGAACATAGATACGTTGTGACGCCCCTAACCGGGGGTCCTTTTATCAACCGTTGATCATTCATCAATCCGTGGAAGTACTCATAATCGTCGTACAACTCGACATCACGTCAATAACATCCCCTTATTTGAGATCACTAAAACACAAAGTTTAGACAGAGTCTCCCTTGTTTCGGGAACTCTCAACTCATAACCTGTGCACAATTCGACTATATGATCCATTCGAGATCCAATATATATCAATTTAAACTCAATTATTGTTCATTTACATCATTAGAACAAAAAGGCTCAAGGCCCAGAAACGTAAGAAGGTTTTCATAAAACTTCAAATTTTTTAATTCGGTCTCTCAGTTCTTGGGCAATCTTTTCTCTTGCTCAAAGGTGTCCTATGGGATCAAATGACTATAAATTAATGTGTAAAGGACCACGGTTGTTTGGGTATAGTCTCGGTTAAGGGGTTGGCTTCGACGTGATGTTGGGTGGTATGACAATCACGGGTAATTCCATGGATTGACTGGTGATCATCGGTTAATAAATGACCTCCGATTTTAGGGGCGTCACATACGCACTACGATGAAAGTCTAAATTATATCCTTAAGATACCAGTACTGTAATGAAAAAAAAAATTACAAACTAAAAAATTGAAAAAAGAAAGAATTAATTTGTGGCATCATTTATACAGATTCATGGAACAACAGTAAAAATCATCAACATGAGAAATCAAACAAATACATGAAAGCAACTATAACCTATTGACAGAGGCAAAGATATCAATTGGTAGAAGGAATACACATTATGCATACTAATATTAGAATAACAAACAATTGAAATTTCTTCAAATCACATAGCAAATATAAATAAGTTGTTGGTTACAACAAATCCACACTGAGTACTCTATCACTTTCTCTGTCAATCCAATTTCCTGTTCAAACGAAAAGAACCCAACACAAATTTTAACTTATAATCTCATAGAGGGCTTACAATATTATGGAGAAGTAACAAAAGAAAAAAAAAACAATGCAGTATAAAAAAATACCTCCAAGAATTTTTCTCAATTTTGAGATTCTGTGCAAAAAACTGATAGCTTCCACCTTCAATATTATACATAATAGTTAGTTATATCAATGATAAAAATCCCAGTTTATATAATACAACACATCTGCCTACCAAAAATGATTTGTTTGATGCTTGAATTTGGGTTGACTCCTTTAATAGATATAACACAAATTTATGAGAGGGACTTCAAATGCCTAAATTTTTGCCATAAACAGTTGAGTAAACAATAAGAATCTCAATAGCAACTTTGTCTAGTAATAACCCGTGCTTAAAGCCACTTGTAACTTAAAAAAATATTCAATTTGAAATAGTTTTTCCTTCATTTATTTTAATTAAAAAAATTAAAATTAATATAACCCCTACTATTTTTTCAAAAAAAATTCACAAAATTTACTCTAAAAAAAGGAATCAAAGAAAATCTCAATCTGCCTATAGATCTTATATATCTAATTGTATGTATCATTGTCCAATACAAACCATTCCATTGCCCAATACAAACTATTACATAACCAAACACAAATCATTATACTTACTAATATCAACACATTCCTTATATAGCATTACAATTTGAATCCAACAAATATTAGCTTAACGATTATCAATCCATCCATTAAGACATTTCATCGAACACGTATTATGCTAACAAATATCAATCCACTACATAGAAATTTGAGCCACCAAAATGCCCTTTCAAGTCATATTTATCAAAGTCTTGCTCTTGATCATGAATTGAATGTCATACCCATCTTCCACACTCGCCAAATGTCGGATAATGCTTATACACAAAATCAAGTGTAGCAAAACCACCAACTATTGTTGCGAAGCTCATCATTTAATGTAACAAAGCACATCTAAACAAACTAAATTTTATCAAAATCCATATATGCCAAAAGAAAGGAGAGAAAATTTGAGTAGAAAAGCATCAAGCTAGTGGATCAAAACTAAATCAATAAGATATCAATAAAGAATGGTCAAAGAGTAAGGTACAACTACTGTACACATTACAAGTAGCCAAAGCTTTTCTAATGTACACATTAGGTATATTCATTTTCAAGTATAAACACAATTGTATGACATAATTATTGCACGAAACATTATATTCCTACTTGGTATGAAAAGTATGTACCATGGAGTAAAAATCAAGGGTAAGGAAAATCTCACCCACGAATGTGACTTCTCAACTCACCAACTTAAATTCAATTCCTTCCATAGTCAAAAGTATGAACTTCATTTGGTTTTAAGACTCCCTGTGAATGGCCAAAGCAATTCAAAGTTAACATACTAGTTGCAAGTTTTGAAGGAAAACCAAAAAAATCAATTTTTAATAGCAAGTGAAAGGAAAATATTTGACTTGCAACTATTTATTAGTAACAATGGGAAATAATCTATTTGGAGAGCGAGAGAAGCCATATGATTATAATTCAAAAAATTAAGACAACTCAATTCAAAAAATATCACAATCATTATGCCTAACAGAGTCTACTCAAAATCTAATTACAAAAATTACCTGAAAAATAACAATTACCACTAATTTAAATCTCAACATATTCAACCGCCAAAAAAAATTAATTTCAAACCCACATTGATAAATCATATGAAAGAGTAAGGTTTTTTTTTTTTTTTTTATCAAGATTAAAGAGTAAGATTACTTACTAGTTTCAATGTTTGAGTTTTTTATGAACAAACCCAACAAGTATGGGAGTAAAAATAATTTTACTGCAACCCATGTTTTATACACAACATGTATAAATCATGTGAATGTCTAATGTGTAACGCCCCAAAAATCGGGGGGAGTCCTTAATTTAACAAAATTCGGACAGAGTCTCCTTTGTACAGGGAACTCTATCCAAAACACAACCTATGCAATTATACTACATTGACCACACCGGATTCATTTATAAATAAATATTGACCACACCGGGTCCATTTATAAGTGAACATTAAAACAGTCCAAATAAGTTCGATTTGTAATGCCCCAAAATCCCCATTTGACAACATTGCTATCTAAAACCATTCACATCATGAGAGCACTAAATAAATCCATCAAATAATAAAATTTTGTTCACCATATGTATGATCCACAATATCATCCCAAAAGAATAGACCAAGTTATGATAATTACATTCCAAAAAAATTATATTTAAACTTAGCAGCGGAATAAACAAAATACTAGACTATACATGATCATAAATAAATTCTCTAGTCTAGCACAAAAATAAACTATAGCTCTAGACGTCCACCTCGGGATCTAGGTTTTCCTCTGGTGGAGCCTCCCAATTTTTCGACTCGTCAACTCCGGAATCTTCCTCTAGCACGAAGTCTAAAAAAAAATTATTATTGATAGGGGGTGAACACTAAACTCTGTAGGAAAATCCTCTTAAACTCTAACAATGTTTGAAAAACGTAGAAAACGGTCAGTCTCCTTTCACAAATAGCATACATAAATTTTGAAAGAAAACATGATATTTTTAAAAGATCTCAAGTTTATACATTAACAATAATTAAGTACAAGAGTAAAGTTAATCCCCCATAAATAACCATTCCAAAAAGTAATCATTCCCACAACAATTTCCAAGATAATCATATCCAAAAGATAACGCAATAAACAATAACCACAATTTATCTCAAGTCTGATGTAAGATAATCGCATGAATAAACACATAGAGAATATTCTGACCCACACACACACAAATCCTCGCAAGGATATCAAACTTCGGGAGGGTGCCTACCGATGCATTGTTTC